TATAAGACTGAGCCAAGTGAGGAAAACACGAAAGACCTAATACAGATTGGAGGTAAGGGACCAAAGAATTCTACCAAAAAACACACAAAAAGTGTTTTGTATCCTAGGATGCAAGGTGCTAAACCCTCCAAAAGACCTCATCAACGTGCAGCCGCTGAGGCGTTAAGATCTTGGCGCCCCGTTGTCCAGTCAAGGGGTGGTGCGACTTCGTCCCCACTCTGGTGTGGGGTGAGGTAACCGCCGGCTTTATCCTACATTGTTGTGGCGTGAGGTGAGTTTTCATCACTTGAACTTTCTGATTTTTTCCCCCTAGTGTCTTCTTCCCAGCGTCTTTCTGTCAGATCTTCCACTTGGCTGTGACAGCCTCCTGTCACATCAGTACCGCTGGAGCTAGAGTGTGAGTTTTTTTTCTCCTTGTGCCCCGCGAGCCTATAACTTCACGAAGGCGGCTTCTCGGAAGGCTTATGGCCCCGCCCTTTCATTCAGTGACACAGTCCATTTCTGTCTGGCCGGCGGCAGGTGGGCTGGAGGTCCGCGGGCGGGCGTGCGACAGTGCCCGGCGCTCCTCTCCCCTCCGCGACCGCCGGCTCCAAGCGAGCCGTCGGTTAGCGTTCTGGGCTGTCTGCGTCTGGAGCGCGCCGCGAGTCCTTGCTCGCTCCCGCCTGTCTTCGCGTCCGCGGCGGCCCGGACCGCGCGCGCCACCTCACGCTAGTCCTCAGGCAGCCCGCGTCTGCCCTTACGGCGCGCGCCCGGGCCCGGCCCCGGCTCCCCACTCGGGCCGGCTGGCTCGCGGGTTCTCTCGCCCCGCCCCGCTCGGCGCCGCCGCTGGGCGCTTGCGCGGGGCGCGTGGCCGTGGTCGGGGTCTCCGCCGCAGCTCGAGCGGCCGCCGCCGCCTCAATCAGTCAGTTAGTCCCCAGCAATGGCGGACGGAGGTGAGCGTGAGGAGCTGCTCTCGCCGTCGCCGGTCTCTCCGGCCAAGCGGCTGTGTTCGTGGCCCAGCCCGCAAGCTCACCACCCTCGCGGTTCGCCCGGGGCAGCCGGCGGAGGGGCGGGGGGCGTCGGCAGCAGCTGCCTGGCCCTCGGGGCCCGCCCCCACCTGCAGCCGGAGTCCTTACTGGACTGCGCCGCCAAGACGGTGGCGGAAAAGTGGGCGTACGAACGAGTGGAGGAGGGCTTCGAGCGGATCCCGGAGCCCGTGCAGCGCCGTATCGTCTACTGGTCTTTCCCGCGGAATGAGCGAGAGATCTGCATGTACTCCAGCTTCCAGTACCGGGGCGGCCCCGGCGCCGGCGCGGCTGGTGGCGCCTTGGGGGCTCCGCCGGCCGAGGAGGGGCCGCCACCACCCCCCGGGGCCGCCGCTCCGGCCGGCCCCGCCCCCGGGACTGTCGCGGGTGGGGCAACCCCTGGGCTAGGCTCAGGGGCCGGCGCGGCCAGCTGCGGTGGCGAGGGGCTCCCGTTCCGCCGGGGCATCCGTCTGCTGGACAGCGGCTCCGTGGAGAACGTGCTGCAAGTCGGTAGGTGCTCGCCTGGCGGCGTTCGGGTCCTCAGCCTCCTCTTCCGCAGGTGCCTCTTCCCTGCCCGAGCCCTGGGGCCGAGACCCCGGTCTTTTGCCCAACTGCTGTACCCCTGCCCAAGGACAAACAAGTCACAAAAACTTTTTTCAACCTTTAACTCAGGTCAACCACTGCTCTTTCCTCCACTGATCCTCTATCCCCATTTCTTTTTGTTTGAAGAGCGAATAGATCTCTCTTCTTCACTTTCTACTCCCCACACCAAAGGCAAAAAGAATGGGGAGGTATGCCTCTTTGGACGTAATAATTTCACAAATGCGTTTTCCTAATTTAAGTTTGGAGAGGAGCGGATTGTTAGTAAATCTGGAACAAGTGTTTTAGAGGGAACGTTTGAGGGGCAGACTGTCAGAGGCAACCGATAGCCCTAGCCGATTGAGTCTCGATGTAATTAACTTTAACCCTGGGAAAAAAGCCTCAACAAAATACTGCATGTTTCAGACAGTTTTAATGGTCTTCTCTAGGATTTTCCCCCTGGTCCAGTGATGCTTGGGAATCTAGGCTTCGGACTAACAATAACCAAAGATGGAAATGTGACAGCATCTCCTCCACACCCCTACCCAAGGAAAAAAAAGCCATACAGTCTGGAATGGGGGTGGGGTCTCTCTTCCTTGTCAGACTGAGGTAAATCAAAAGCTGGTCACGCTGGGTTTTTCAAATGCTTCTCATAGAACAGGTCGTCGTATTTGCTTTTATCTTTTTGTTGTGGGAAAATGTATTACAAAAATGATTTCTTCTTCCCTTACTCCTCCGGAGCTTCTAGTCAGTTTGTTAATCTTATTAAATATATAAATACAGTGCTTCTGATTTGTGGAATGGTTAAGGAGAAAGAGGAAAAAAATGACATTGATTAACATTGACTTGCTGTATGGAAAATTAAAACACGATTTGTTTTCTATTTGGATTATTATAGCATTCTGGAAGTACATATCTTTGTCCATTTTATTGTACAGTATATGCTCATATTTATTGAAGAAAATACTGATTTTTGAAAGGAATTGAAGAGAGGTTGTTTTTAGAATTAAACAAGCACAGAGAGACTCACAAACCCCAGATATCTAGCTCTCCAGGTAATACCAACATATTTGAAAAATGTTTTTCTTTGAATGGTGCTCTTTCATATAAAGTAATCTGCTTCTGGTTATTGAGAATAATTGATTCCTGTGTTTCTAACCAAAACAACAGCATACCACAATTTGTTTTGCAAATGTGAAATGTAAATTTATCCTGTGCCAGAATATAGTGACAGTGGCTTGAGCAAGTTTTGTTTATTTGAAAGAGGTTAGTCCTTTGTGTACTTGTGTATATTTTTGAAAGAGTGAATTGAATAAACATGTAATTAAGGTGTGCAGCTTTAATACTGAAATACTGAAAACATGAAAATGAATACAATCATTTTCCCATTAGTCTGTAAATTTTAATTTTTCTATGAGTTTAGATCATTTAACTTTTAAGATTCTTGTTCAAAATATTTTAAATTGAAAAGGGTCAATTTAAGTGGTCGCTTTATAGTAAGTTGGGTTTGGAATAATTTTCAAACTTTAGGGAGCAAATGAGAGAGAGGAAGAGTTTTAAAGAGGTGTCTGTTTTAAAGTGACTGAAGTGTCACGTTTCAAATGAAATCGGATATTTTGGGTAGTCCGGATCATGTTTAAATCAGATATTTCCCCTTTATAATATGACAGTTAATGTGGTTCTGGGGTTATGGGCTCTCATATGATAGTTTCAGGGACCTTGAGAAAAGACACATATAAACATTTTCCGATTGACTTTGGATTTCAAAGATGAAGACAGGTGAATGAATTTATCACTTTAAGGTAATGCTACTTGAGAACCACAAACTGTGTAATTTTTATTTTTCTGACTTTAATTTAGGTTAATAAGTATAGAAGAGTAGCATAGTCTTTTCTACATATTTTTGAGTTCTGTATTTTGGTATGAACCACTTTTAATATGTAAAACTAGAGACTCATCCCCCATTCCTAAACTTAAATGATTTAATACAGAGAGTATTGCCAAGAGATGAGTAAGGAAGTGATTTGTATATAGCAAGTTAGTAATCGTTTTCTTCAGTTTATAACTGTACTTCAGACTCAATTACTAAGTGATGCTAATTAAGAATTCTACATATTTCCTTACTGTTTCTAAACCATAGAACCTCAGATTTGGGAGGTTACTGAAGGCCAATGCTTTAGGAAGAACAGAAAGTTGGGGTGTTTCTGTGACAACATTCTTTTAAGAAAAAGAGTCATAAGGGAATTTAATGAAAAAGGGAATTTAAATGAAAAAAGAAAGCACACACAAAAAAGTTTTCAAGGTAAATAAAAATAAACAAAAACTTGTAGAAAGAGCAGGTAGATCAAATTTTATAGTTTCTAATTACTTTCCACACAAAATCTGGTAATGGGAAGTCATGAACTCTGGTTAAAAATTGGATACTTCAGATTTTTTTTTTTTTTTTTTTTTTTTTTGAGACGGAGTTTCGCTCTTGTTACCCAGGCTGGA